AGGAATATCTAATATCCCAGTATATTCAAAGCCATCCTGTGAAGCAAGTCAGATACTTCAGTTTCAGTGAGGAGCTATCACACTCTGTCATATCTCAAATCTGTCTGGCCTATCTTCTGCAATTCAATACATGTAAGCCACTTGATAGAAATCTGGATGTATCTTCCCCTCTTGCAAAATATGCTGCAGAACACTGGATCATACATGCACATTCTGGTTGCAAGAGTCAATCTCAGTCATCTTCAATATTTGTATTGATGATGAAGCTTCTGACGGATGAAAATAATGCTTTTGTGAACTGGGTTAAAATTCATGATATTGATATGCACTTCAGGATGACGGGGGATGAGATTGCTAAACCACTATATTATGCATCACAGGCTGGACTAACTGAAGCATCATATGTTTTGTCAGAAATGACAACAGATATAAATGCACAGGGAGGATTCTATGGAAATGCACTGCAGGCAGCATCATATGGAGGCCATGAGGCAATTGCAAAGCTGCTCATAGATGAGGGAGCAGATGGAAATGCACAGGGAGGATTCTATGGAAATGCACTGCAGGCAGCATCATATGGAGGCCATGAGGCAATTGCAAAGCTGCTCATAGATGAGGGAGCAGATGTAAATGCACAGGGAGGATTCTATGGAAATGCACTCCAGGCAGCATCATATAAAGGCCATGAGGCAATTGCAAAGCTGCTCACAGATGAGGGAGCAGATATAAATGCACAGGGAGGATTCTATGGAAATGCACTGCAGGCAGCATCATATGGAGGCCATGAGGCAATTGCAAAGCTGCACATAGATGAGGGAGCAGATGTCAATGCACAGGGAGGAAACTTTGGAAATGCACTCCAGGCAGCATCATATGGAGGCCATGAAGCAATTATAAAGCTGCTCATAGAGGAGGGAGCAGATGTAAGTACTAGTCAGGGCACCCAGGGAATGCACTCCAGAGCAGGTTATTATGTAGGCCATGGAATAGCGAAGCTCTTATATATTAAGGGAGCAGATATTGATGCACAGGGAGGATTCTATGGAAATGCACTGCAGGCAGCATCATATAAAGGCCATGAGGCAATTGCAAAGCTGCTCACAGATGAGGGAGCAGATATAAATGCACAGGGAGGATACTATAGAAATGCACTCCAGGCAGCATCATATAAAGGCCATGAGGCAATTACAAAGCTGCTCATAGACAATGGAGCAGATGTAAATGCACAGGGTGGAGACTATGGGAATGCACTCCAGGCAGCCTCATATGGAGGCCATGAGGCAATTGCAAAGCTGCTCACAGATGAGGGAGCAGATATAAATGCACAGGGAGGATACTATGGAAATGCACTCCAGGCAGCATCATATAAAGGCCATGAGGCAATTGCAAAGCTGCTCACAGATGAGGGAGCAGATATAAATGCACGGGGAGGATTCTATGGAAATGCACTGCAGGCAGCATCATATGGAGGCCATGAGGCAATTGCAAAGCTGCACATAGATGAGGGAGCAGATGTCAATGCACATGGAGGACACTTTGGAAATGCACTCCAGGCAGCATCATATGGAGGCCATGAAGCAATTGTAAAGCTGCTCATAGAGGAGGGAGCAGATGTAAGTACTAGTCAGATGCACCCAGGGTATTAAAGAACAGGTTATTATGTAGGACATGGAATAGTGAAGATTTTATGGATATTTTGCCTTGTATATATTGATGATATAGTCATCTATTCAAAAACCTATGAGGAACATTTGGTACATGTAGACAAGGTCCTAGAGGCAATTGAGAACGTGGGTATAACATTGTCCCCGAAGAAGTGCCATCTTTTTTACGGTTCTGTCCTCCTTCTGGGACACAAAGTATCAAGGTTAGGTTTGTCTACACATGCAGAGAAAGTTGAAGTAATCATGCACCTAGAATGGCCCAGGAAGCTTTTGCAGTTGCAAGTGTTCTTGGGCATGGTTGTATATTTTTCGGCCTTTATTCCCTACTATGCATCAATATGCACCCTTGTTCCAACTTTTGCAGAAAGGATGTAAATGGAATTGGGGAGTAGAACAAGAGCATGCATTCCAGTCAGCAAAATTAGCCCTTCAATTGAGCCCTGTCCTAGGACATCCCAAGGAAGGCCTTGCATACCAGTTATACACAGATGCTTCAGATGAAGCCCTGGGGTGTTCTTTACAGCAAATTCAGCCAATAAAAGTAGGTGATCTGAAAGGTACATGCACCTACAATCGACTAAAGAAAACTCATGAACAAGGCCTTGATCTGCCTCGATTAGTGACAGGGTTGAGCAGTAAGTGTAAGGACCATGACTTTGACGATGTATGGGCTCCCGAATTCAACAACACAATAGTGCACATGGAGAGAGTTATAGCATACTGGTCAAAAATGCTGAAACTCAATACTCAATGACTGAATGAGAGGTAGTGTTTGAAAGTCTGGTCTGGTCTGGTCTTTTGATGCCCAGGGGCTTTAACCATAACTGCAACCAGTCTACCCTTTTCCCAGAAGTCAAAAAGACTGGACTGGACCACAAAAGACCGTGGTCTGCGGTCTTTTTGCAGTCTTTAGACTGGTTTTGGTCTGCATCAGTTTTAACCGGTCTTTAGGCTAATATTTTAAAATTATGAATCGGTAAATTTATTAACATGTCTACTGGCTTTAAAACGAGCTTAAGAACGTTAAATTTGGTTCAGAATTGGTGTTTCTATAAAATAAATCTGGTACATCTACTATTTCCAAAAATATTTTACAATTTAATTCATATCTCTCTCAATTCTTTACCAAATTGTATGTTCTTGGGTGCGTTTTAAAGGGTATTTAAGGGGCTACAAAAGACCGGTTCACGTTAACCGGTTTTTTTGCGGTCTTAACATCTCAAAAATAAAAGACTGTAATGCAGGTCCAGTCTGGTTACAGTTTTTTTTCCAGTCATGAGACTGGACTTCTAAACACTAATGAGTGGCTCTATGGCTAAGGAGGGACTAGTAAAATTTCAACCCTTTGTCAAAGGCAAGGAAGTTCTCCTCATCACAGACCATTTGGTGTTATAATGGGCACACACCTACGAGAATGCAAACCATTGCTTAGCCACTTGGGGGGCTGTGAAGTGTTCACTCTGAACTTCTTGCATAGCTGAAGCCAAGAGGGAAGGAGGAGGCAAGAATGGGTGGATCTGGGATTAACACCCATGAGTGAGCAATGAGCAGTTACAAGATACTCAGCTGGCCCAACATGATTATGCATACTGTAGGAAGTACAGATATACAAAGCACTACATGTAGTGCAAGAGGATGGCAAGACTGCTGACAAGATGGTGGTTCAAGACAAAAGATCAATATATTATGTAAGATATCCAAATCTAGCTATATACCATTGTTTGACTATGGCCTCCAGGCATTCCCTTCCAATCCTATATCACAAAGCCCCCCAATGTCCAGAGGGAATGTAAGGAAAAGAATGGTGGGGAGGAATAATAGAATAGAAATCCTCTTGCCCCCCAGAGTGAATATCAGGATAAAATGAGACCAAAAGGTAGCAAAGCAAAGAACATGAATAAAAGAAAGAAAAAATTTGGCCCCAAATAATTCCTATCTGGAAAGCTGGTCACTGTAAGCTCCCAGCTTAACCCAGAAATACCCATATGATCCTCCCATTCTCTCGTCAGTGATGTATAACCATGAGTACTGGGAAGCCATGCAAGTGGATGGCTTCCAGGTCATCCAACTCCATTGCCTTTCGCCATCAAGATGGTGTAGCATGCTTCCATCATACTTGTGGTCTGGGTATAAGGAATGTATAGTGTGATAGAGGCTTGCACCTCTCCACTCAGATCATTGATCCCAACTCAACTCCCTCTACCCATCAAGATGATGTAGCCTGCTTCCATTGTGGTGTGTCATCTGGATGTGGGGAGTGTGTAATGGGATAGAGGCTTGCGCCTCTCCTCACATCTTCCACCTATACTCCCATACAGCCCCCCACTTTTCCAGTGTATGAATCTCAAGAATCAAGCCAGGGAGGATTGAGGCGAAGAGATCATGCAGTGGAAAATTACAAGCCATGATCCTAAGTTGGTGTCAGAGTAGGTAGAGGTGGTGCCATGTTGGGTAGGAATGATAAGAGGTTGAAGGAAAGGGGGAGAAAAAAAAATGTTGTCATAAATCTTGCCCCCCAGAGTCCACTTCTGCTTCCATTCCTCCTTTGAGCAATGGATGCAGCTGCTTCTCACAAACTCAATCCCTCTCTCCATGCTTTGAGATTTCCCTAACACCTAGTACCTCTATGCACCCCATGCACCCCTGCTCCATGACACAGATGCAGGTCGCATATACACCACTTCCAAATACTTTTAGTTAAGTTAGCGCTGTATGACCCTAAACCAGTTCTTCACTTGCCCCTGCCGCTGCCATCCCACATTACCGACTCTTGGCATCATCAAGGCCAGAGCTGCCATGTTTGTGTCCTTTGCCGTGAATTCCGCAGGCAAAGGAAGGTAGTCATCACGTGATTCTTACTTTACAAAAGCCTGAGCTCCTGCACAAATTGACAAGTAGTATGTATCATTTTCCTAATACTAGCCATCGTCGTCGTAAACCATTGTGAAACTTGTGAAAGTAGAGATTAACGAATGGCCATCCATATTTTGGAAGTTAACAACATTATGATTGACATGGGTAGTATCCCAACACAAATGGGTAAAGCTACAGAGTCAACCTTGGCTGTAGAGTTACGATTCGCATTGGAAGCAAACATCTAACTCTGCCAATGTTGAAGCTTCTTCCAATTGGCAAACAGAAACTGACACTT